TGTTTTTCCCTCATTTACCGTCACGGAGATGACGGCGCACTGGCTCTGGTTGTAATCAAGTTAAATTTGATCTCTTTCCAACAATTTTCACAAGAAAATGGAACAGTTAAAAGCAGGGCTTGTGTTGTGTTGACCGGATAGTTCCCGTATTTGACCGTTTATTTTGACGGAGAAAGAATAGAAAGAATTACACCAACGCATGCAGACGAACTGACATTTTATTCTACGCATATCGCAGATGTAGCTAAATCACCCAAGAAAAGATTCCCATCTGAACATCTGAGCTGGGCCTTGCTCAGCGCAGCTCGCTGTCAGCGCATATGTGCACAGCGAGCTGAAGATGTGGAGATTGGCTTGGAGTGCATCGCAGAACCAGAGCGCATGCAGGAAGGTTCCTCCCACTGAAGCGAGAGTTTTCCAAACCCTGTCTCTCAGAGACACTTGTCACTTAGAAAATGTTCCCTGATTATGAAGCATTGTCTGAATAGTGCCTTTTCCTGTCTCCAATGAGGCGACGCATCCAGGAGCCGTCTGAGGAGAAGCCCAGAATCTCACATCGTCAGCTCAGGAAGCGCCTATGATTACACACAAGCGTGACGCGTCAACCCGGGCTCACAGTAATACTGGGTTGGACCTGTTCAGGTTTACGCAGACAATCTTTACATAGAATTGACTTACCGTTATAAAATTAATTCAGTAAAATATAAAGCATTTTATTTAAATATCCATTCATTATTTTACAAGCACAGAGAGCCGCATCAGATTCAGATCAGCGGTAAGATTCCTCCGACTGAAATCAGTCGGAGGAATCTTACCGCATGCGCTCTGGTTCTGCGACGCGCTCCACGCTCCTCTCCACATCTTCAGCTCGCTGTGTACCTTATGTAGTACACGCTGACAGCGAGCTGCGCTGAGCAGTGTCCAGCTCAGATGTTCAGATGGGAATCTTTTCTTGGGTGATTTAGCTACATCTGCGATGTGCGTAGAATAAAATGTCAGTTCGTCTGCATGCGTCAGGGTAATTCATGCATCTGGGTAATTATTTCTATTCTTTCTCCGTCAAAATAAACGGTCAAATACGGGAACTGTCTGGTCAACACAAGCCCTGCTTTTAACTGTTCTGTTTTCTTGTGAAAATTGTTGCAAAGAGATATAATTTAACTTGATTAACACCAGAGCCAGGCGCACTGCGCCGTTATCTCCGTCACTGTACATGAGGGAAAAACAAAATGATCGGATCCTTTTCTGACCTTCCCCACCTACAAAGTTTAATTACAACAATCAAACGTGACAGAGCCTGCATTTGTATTCTGAACAGTCTAAACATGTTTTAAAAAGAAACGTATGACAAAAGTGGCACCTGCTCAGTAAAACCACCAACAGGGTGAAAAATATCAAAATATTGTCGGCAGAGATGGGCTACAACTTCTGGATCCACTTTATATGAATCGTTTTATTGATTATCTTCTTATGAAAGATAACTTTGACGTACACGAGCGACCGATACTGGCTGCTGTCAGCTGTTGTGAGCAGCGCTCTGCTGTCTGAGGGTAGGCCCCGACCACAACGCCGCGGCTGCTGTGGCTCTCAGTGTTTTCTTTACTGTGGGAAACAGGTAATAATGGCTGTTTGATGGGAACAGGTTGCCGACCCCTGGTTTAAGTTTTTCATTTTTTTTAATGAATTAGATTAAAAATAAAGGAGCCCGGCCCGTGTCCGAGGTAATTACACAGTCATTGGCCCGAAGCCCGGCCCGAGGGCCAAGGGCCGGGCCGACCCGAGGGCCAAGGGCTTCAGTGCAGGGCTCTACTACAAGTTATGGCATGTGTCATTTCAGATACCATAAAATATTGAACAAAAAATCAAGATGCTGGAGGCTGTATTCTGAGAAGGTGGCAAAAAACTACTCCTACATCCCAGAGATCTAAACCATGATCGTCAACCAACGTTTGACAAGCAAGAAAGGTCTTCCTCGACGCTACAAGCTAAGGCCTGAGGATCCAAGGCGTTGCGGTTTGCTGTCCGGAGTCCCTGCACCATCAACAGAGGAACTTCTACAACACCTACGGACTTGCGGTGATGGTAAAATAAAACATTATCTGCCTTACATCTTCCACACAATAGTCCATTGCTAATTGAGTTTTTTTTTTTTTACAGGTAAAACTTTGCCACAGACACAGGTGTTGGGGGAGGCAAGAGAAAACCCAAAACCATCTTTATTTTTGTTTCCTGTGTTTTTTTTTGTTTGTTTGAAAATAAAGATATATTTTGGGGAAATAAGGACTAATAATTTAAAAATTTATGTAAAATGTTGGAGGTAGACATAAGTTTTTGTTGTTGTGCAGGAGTTTTAAAATTTATGGTATTTTTACAAATGCAACACAGAGTTGTGCTTTAGAACACTTTATTAGAGCATCAAACAAAAATATATAAAAACAAATATCAAATATATACATTTATTTACAATCGTCTTGGAATAAAACCAGTGTAGTTACCATTGGGGTCAGGGAATTTTTCCCTTATCCTCCAGACAACGCAGCTTGGGATTTCTACTCTGCGTCCTTCACCAAGTTTTCCATGCTGCCATGCTACAAATTGTCTGTAAGCTGCATGGCAGAACTGTCTGTTGTCCTCACCAGGGTCCGGGTCATCATAAACCGCTCGAAACTCATTCCACAATGTTCTGGCCAGGCGAAGAACACCATTTTGCAGAATAAACTCCTCCATGTGTGGTACAGTTGAAATACATGTCTGGGGAGGTTGTTGGCCGCATTTCTTTTCCAAATCAGTTGGCATATCTCTGCAGTGGGAGCATACACACCATGAAGGTTGATTGGGTGTTGGAGGTGTTGTGGCAGGTGGACCAGAGAGGGCAAGTACATCAAAGAGAACACCAGTGTCTGTCCAGCACCATGGTAAGGATGTCAGTAGCCTGCTGAGGGTTCAGGTTCTGTATGTGTTGCTACAAAAGTGGAAAGAGATGCTACAGCAACAAATTTTAGGATCATTTAGTATAATTTTGTTATGCTTACACGTTCAAAATCTATTTGCTCTCTCGAGAGAGATCTTCATCTCAAAGGTCCACAGCTGAGTGTCTCGCACTTCTTCGGCATCTGAATGCACCGCGGCCTCTGGATGTACCACGGCTTTGAGATGATGATGGGCATCTCCTTTTTGCACCACGTCTTGAGGATGCAATAGGAGGTTCAAACTCTTCCTCAGAGGATTCCTCAATCACTGAACTCTAAATTGTATTAGAATAAAAAAATTATACTAATATAAAAAGTACTCTTACATATTAATCAATTTTGACACAGATCAGGTTTACATCTAGTCCAAATTTGGGCTAAACCAACAATAAACAGAAACCCTATGAAAACAACCATGATTATAGGAGGACTACACAGAATGCAGTGTTTATTCGTGATTTCCACATAAATTATATGCTTTGATATATTCATCCCATCTTGAATGGCAAAGCAATTAAAAATAAGCTAATTACTCGTAATAAAATACTAACAATTTGATAGGATTCATTCTATTTACAATATAGATTGTCAACTGTTACTAGTATTTTAAAATATAAATATATTTATAGATATTCTTTATAAAATGCCTTTTGTAAACAGTAAGTGTTTAATGTGCTGGTTAAAAACAACTTTACCTCAGATAGCTCCATTGCTAACACTAGCTCAGCTCTATTATGAAGAAGCAATGCTGCTCTGGTGTTGACTCGGCTTTTCCTGCGCGTGCACATTAGGAGGCGTGGCTTTCGGCTCTTTCAGGAAGGGCGGGGGAGTGAGCAACAGCCGTTCAAATTTAAAAATCTCCTCCTCCTCACCCTGACGGCGTCATCCTACGGATTGTGCCTTTAATCAAGTTTACACAAACATGTCAAAAAATGCACAGAAACAGAAATGTTGCATTTGTAAAGACCCAGTTATACAGTTTATTAGCAAAAAAAGTTATTTTGGGGTTTGGTTACTCTTTAAAGACCCCTCACACCCTCTTGATACTGTTTTCAAGTTACGCCCTCCAAACGCCGACTTCGATGCCCATGCTGTAAAACACAGAGGAGAAGTTCCTTTGTTTCCAGAGCTGTGCTTCTTCTCAACTCATAGTACAGATGGGGAGGGTGTGCATGTAGTCACATGCATGCATGTGTATTTGTATGTGTGTGGGAGTGAGTGTGTGTGTGTTTGAGCATAAAGGTATGAGTGTTTGAGCATAAAGGTATGAGTTGAATGCGTATAAAGGTCGTATGATTATGTACATTGAGTTTTAGAGCCTAGAGATTTTAGTGTCTGCTGCTTCACAATTCTGTCTCAAGCTGGGATTAGTAAAGTTGTCTTGAGTCTTAAAACATAAGAAAATACATGACTGCTGAGACCGGGATTGAGCCAGTGTAAGGTCACAGCAGGTGCTCTATCCACTAACCCTAATCCTAAAAGAGCAGTAGTCTACAGCACATGTCTGGTGGACAACACGTAGCTTTTACAGCAGTGTTTTGTCCCAAACGCAGAATCTCCACTCTGATAGCGGTGGAGGTTTAAAGCTGTGACATGAAGGTCACATTCTCAACTGCAGCATGAAACCATCCGCTCTATGCTCCCAACTAGGAGAAAGTGGGCCTTCGTGGCCTACCTCCCGGGGAGGTGGGTGTCATATCTGAGTCTGTCTTCATGAGGAGGAGAAAGGCCTGATGATGCACTTGGTCTCCATCCTCATGTCTGCAGGTCTTTCCTCTGAATCTGAAAATGTGCAGCTGAGAAAGGAAAATGCAGCCAAAATGGTTCTGGGGGTATGTTTGCATGCATAAATAACGATATCACATGATACAAAGCTCCCAACAAGTGGTTTTCCATGAGCTGTCCACCTTAGAGACAGAGGTCCTCCTGCTTCTTATGTTAAATGCCTCTCTAATCAGCCATTCAGAAATCATGCCTACAAGGCTGGAAGTTGCCTTGTGACTGCAGCTGAGAAACCTGTTTTGTCCCCAGCCTGTCGGGCCTACGAGTTTGTTTGTGGCAGTGGTGGGCAGTGTGTACCACAGGCATGGCGTTGTGACGGGGAAACAGACTGTCTGGATGGCAGCGATGAGCAGCAGTGTGCTGGTTCCTGTGGTCCTGGCCAGGTGCTTTGTCAAAGTGGAGACCAGTGTGTGGATTACCAGCAGCTCTGTGATGGGACCCCACACTGCTTGGATTCTTCAGATGAAAGTATCAACAACTGTGGTGAGTGAAGTAGTACCTAACTGCACACACTGAGAAAATTCAACTTTCTACTATATTTTAGTTTTCAGGGAGACTGACCACGTGTATGTGCTCTCTAGGTTCATCTGAAATACCTGCCTGTCCAGGCAGCTTCCCATGTGACAACCACACCTGTGTGAACATGTCACATGTCTGTAATGGCATCCCGGACTGTCCACAAGGCGATGATGAGTTGGTGTGCGGTGAGTTCCTACTAGAGTAGAGGCGGGTACGAGTGAGAGTGGATGGATTAGTGAGGCTGTGATGTAACCAGTGTTGGGAAAGTTACTTTAAAAAAGTAATTAGTTATAGTTACTAATTACTTTGTCAAAAAAGTAACTCAGTTACTAACTGGGTTACGAAATTATAAAAGTAACTAATTACCAAGAAAATTAACTACTTAGTTACTTTTTTTTATTAAAGAAAGCAACGAAAAAATGGGTTAATTGAACTTACTTAATTTACTATAAATTACTACAATAGTGAAATATAAATTATTAATGACTGGAACATAATAAAATGTATGTCCACATTTTTTATAAACCTTAATAATTTAAATAAATAAGCACTTAACAGGAGGAACTACTAACAGGAACAGTACACTTATCTAGAGTATTAAAAGGCCACTGGGTGATATTTAACAAGACCCCAATCAGCTAACATTTAAAATTGCAAATACAAACACCTGTTAAGATTCCTGAGCCTTTAAATGGTCTCTCAGTCTAGTTCAATTACAGAAATAAATGTAATTTTGCACAGCATTTTAATTTTTCCAGCTTCACATAATTGTGTGTTTTTAGCAGCATTTCTGTTGCTGGTAATCTAGTAATGGTTAAATAAATAAAGAAAATCCTTTAAAATGACACTAGAAGAGGCACAAGCCTGATGGAGGACTGACATTTACTAACTTGGGTCAGACCCAACCACAGAAGAGCTGAAGCTGGGTGGTGAACACACACAGGTAGTTCTAATAACACCTGAGCTCCATGACGTCTGAGACTGATGCATCAGTGTTACAGCGGGACTAAAGACATGATCAGAAACAGGTTACAGCTGGATGATCTAGGAAGGTAGGAGATCAGGACGTCTGAGCGGTGAACAGGTGAGCGGACCTTCAGGACGTCCCGCTGTTACGCCAAGAAGGGCGTGCCTGCAGATCCACACCTGCAGCCGTAGATATTCATTCCGTCTTCCTCGTTCTTCACGGCCGTGATGCGCTTGGATGAAAACATCTGCCTCTTTAGCTCCTGATCAGCTGATGACAGCTTCAACACACTGCACAGCTTAACGCACGCATTTCCTTATCAGTAACAGAAACGATCGTTTTGATGAAAGAAGACGGTAATTAATTAGTTTGCTCATTACTGAAAAAAAATTTTTTAGTAACGCGGTTATTTTAAACTGCGTTATTCCCATCACTGCTCTGTGGTGTCTACAGCAGGCAGTGACTGAGACAGTGAGGGTCTCCGCCCACCCGGCCAATCATCATCGTGTTTGTAAGTGCATTACCGACACCTCTCTCTCCCTGGCTGCTGCTGAAGTGTGGCGGTCAGAAAGCCTCACATTTTGCTCAGCGTTCGACAAGCACATAGTAACGCACAACCTTCCGTCCCAGTAACGGTAACGGCGTTGCAACAGTGGGAAAAGTAATTAATTAGATTATTCTGTTACCCAAAAAAGAACACCGTTAGTAACGCCGTTATTTTAAACGGCGTTATTCCCATCACTGGATGTAACCCAACATGGCTGTAAATGTAAAGTAAGTGAGCTGAAAGAATAGTAACATGAAGTTTTGCAGGCAGTAGACAATGCTGCGGTTTGGTCCAAAATACTGTAAAACGTATTTTAATAACCACAAATAGAATTAGGAATGACTAAATGTCAGTGATTGTTGTTTGTTATTGTTGTGATTTCCAGATAAAAGCCCCGTTCAGCCCGGCAGCAGCAACATCTCTACCACTTGCCCTGAGTTTACCTGTATGGATGGATCCTGTGTACCCTTTAACTTGGTGGGTCTCTAACCTGTTTGCAGTCTTTCATTAGCTTAAAGAGGTTGGATTATTCAGAAAAACAGCAAATTCCACCGGCTTTTCATTAGGGTCAGAAGAAGATTGTGAGTGGTGACTTTACGCCTGAGTAGGGTTTGGACTATTAACCACTGGTGAAACTACTCCAACCCCGGTAAAAAGTCAATAGGATGCAATCTGCAGCGACGAAAACTAAACTGGAACAAAGACATAAGGATGGTGGCAGAAGCAGAACCAGCAGCAACCACCAGGACTGCTCTGTGTTCACTATTATTGCCTAGATCACTTCCAGCTAGCGGACCTTGTCTTCCAGGGGAGATAGATCGGTCACACTGTAACTCTGTTCCAGATATCTTACCAAAAATGACCCTTATGGCCTATGTTGTAGTGCCCTCTTAGGGTTCTACAACCCCCCAATGTGCTTTACAACACAAACAGTCATTCATGCGCTGGCGGGGATGAGCTACGATGTATCCACAGCTGCCCTGGGGCGCACTGACAGAGGCGAGGCTGCCGAACACTGGCGCCTCATACCAGCAAACAAGGTGTCTTGCCCAAGGACACAACAGCAGAATTATTTGACCGGAGCCGGGATCAAACCAACAAACTTCTGATTACTGTTCAACCCGCTTAGCTTGTGAAATCAATTTAACCCATTGGCTTCAATTGGTTTTTATAGAAAAAGCAGAAAAAAATGGTACAAATGCTACATCTCAACCCCTGAATCTTCTCATGCATCTTAAAGTGACACTGTATATTTTTCCTGACGATGGGGGCAGTAGATACCTAAATTTTTGCAAGCGAGCTGTATTTTTGTGCTGTGGTAAGACCTTACCAACAGATCCCCATTAGGGTCAAAAAACCCTGGGGAGTGCAAACTTCAGCAAAATGACAGGCACATCAGACTCCCTTTCATCACTGTCAATGAGTAAAGAGGTGAATGTGTAAAACCACATTTATTAATGGGAAAAGTTTGGTACCCATTTGTTACATATCAGTAAATGCATTTTGTCCTCATGGGCTCCCGTAGAAGGAAACTTGGCATCCAATATGGCATCGCCCAGATACTTAGACCTGCTCCCAGGTATTTTAGACCTGATTTTTATGGTTATATGTTAAGAAGCTGCCAATATTTTGTAACAACTGGACATCATTTCATTAATTTTTAACCACATTTTGATGGATATTTTCAGAGATTAACAATGAAAACTACACATTGTTTCTCTAGCCCTCAGTTCCAATTGCATGCAAGAGTAGTACTTTCTCCTGTCACGTCAAGAACCAGAAAGTAATTCTAGAACTTTCTCTCACGATTGTCGAGAGGTAAAGCAGGACAACCCGGAGACTGCAACAACGGAGGCAGGAATATCATTACAACAAACGCCATGTCGTCCTCATATAGAAAAAAGCATCCTTTATCCTGATAATTTGTAAAACGGCATAATTTTTGCCTTGTAGAAGTTTTTCTTTTTATTGTCGTCGTTCTGTTTTGTAGTGAGTAGAAATCAGGCAGCCATGGGAACTTAAAAGAGACTGCAGCAGCGGCACTTTAGTGGAACTCGTCCCATGCCTGTAGTGTTCTACTTTACCTGGTGTCACAACACACTCCATTCTAAGGGCATAGATGTTACTACGGTCTAAATGACATCCATTCTCTTCAAATACGCCAAGGATGCACTTCACTGCCATGATGCACGTCACCATACAGCTACCATCAGCATGCAAGGGGAGAGAAAATGTAAAGACTCAACAAAGAATGTACTTTTATCGGAAGCTCCGTGGTTTTAACGTTAACATGTGAGGTCGCCAGGCCATCACATGCCATGAAAAGGTTTCTGTGTTTAACAGGCTTTCGGTTAGAGGTCAAGAACTCGTTACTTTTCCAAAGAGTCAGATGGCAGGTGAAACTGAGTTGAGCATCGTCCGAGTCAGTGCAGATCACCAGCTCGCTGACACCACAATCAGCAGCATGTTGCAGTACTACCAGGATCCCAGCTACCTCTGCAAACTGTGAGGTCTGAGGACCCAATTGGTAGCACCATGAGTCTTTCTGGTCAGCGTGTAGCCAAACAACACTCACGCCTGAACTAGATCCAGCACCGTGCCGAAAGGAACTGCCATCAACGTACACAGTTGGCAAATCCACACAGAGAGCTTGGTTGAAGGTTGGGGTTCAGCAGAGTCTGGGGGAGGGTTGGCTGGCAGGACTGACGCAGCGTCATCGTCAGAGCAATGCTGGCATGCAAAGAGTGCTACGGCGGTTTTGAGCGTAGCGGACCTCAATGTCGAAACTCTGAAGAGCTAGCAGCCATGGCGCAATGCGTGCATTGGTCACCACACCATCTCTGATGCATTGACTATTTAGGAAGGTCACTGGCTGATGTTGAGTTTCAATGATGATTGTCTGCCCAACGATGTAGCTGGATAAGTGTTTAACTGCCCACATGGTGGAAAGCAAAGCTTTTTCACAGTCAGAGTATTTTAACTCAGGACCAGACAAGAGCATGCTAGCATAGGCCATGACACGCCTGTCACAGTCATATACCTGATAGAGACCAGCACTCAAACAGTTGGATGAGAACCCGACCTTAAGGTGGAACTCCTTTTCACAATCAGGAAGTGCCAGGCATGGAGCTGAGCATAACGCGACCTTCAAGTCATCCATGGCCTGCTGCTGCTGCTCCGTCCCCTCGAAAGTCACATCCTTTTTCAGCAGGGCAGTCAGAGGTCTCACCATCTCAGCATAGTTCTCTACGATCTCTGCAGTCCAGAGACGTTCATAGGAGCTTTGATGGTGGCACCACCCTGGACTCTACCATGTTGAGGTTGCACTCCCTGTAGTCCCACAAGGAGGCCAACAAACTGGACCTTTGACCTGCACCACTGACCTTTGGTGAGGGAGATTTTTGCAACCATGAGCTGACCCATGATGTGGTCCAGCTCGGACAGGTGGTCATCCAAAGTATGTTTACAAATCAGAATGTCGTCAATGTAGATGATGGTACCTCACTCCCAAGCAACACGGCAGGCTTTGTCCAAGAAGATGTTGATCTCAGATGGTGAGTTGGAGTAGCCAAAAGGACAACGAGTGAAGGTGTACTGGCGGTTGGCGAAGGTGAAGGCTATTTTATATTGGTTAGATTTATGGACAGGGATTGTCCAGAATCCAGACGCAATGTCAAGGGTGGAAAGGTATTTAGCCTCTCTCACCTTCAGAAGTTCTTGTTCCAGTCGGGCCATTGACCACCAAGACAAAGGAACTTGTTGGTTGAGTATCCTGTAGTCAATGGGTAGTCGCCACTTACCATTAGGTTTCCTTACCGGCCACAGCAGAGCAGAGTAGGTGCTGTTGCAGCGTCGGATAATATCCTTCTCCAAGAGGCTGTCAATGATTCCTGGAGGGCCGGTATCCAGCAGGTTTTGTGGTTTTTCTGCTCCAACAGGCTTGATTCAGTGGTTGAAACATCTGTGCAGCAGCTCATCAGGCTCTGCAGAAGCCTGTTAATTAGCAGCGGATTGAAATCAGGTGTGTTGAAACAGAGTTCAAACTAAAACATGCAGGATACTGGCCCTCCAGGACCAGGATTGGACACCCCTGGTCTAAGGAGTCAACTGAAAGAGAGTTTTTGTATTTAAGTAGTAGCTGCCGTAGTTTGTTCCACTCAACCTCATTCATAACAGCATCGGCTTGGCCCACGACCTGTTCAATGAAAGAGAACATCAGAGGGCGGCTCTGAAGGATGCTGTGGTAGTGGTTCTGGAGGGGCTGAACAGTTCAACACACACCCAAAGTTCTAACCCAAATTCTTTCTGGCCACTACCCAAAACTCGTGACCATAGGAGAGGGTAGGAACATAGATCGACTGGTAGTCATAAACATCCCAACTGCTGCTAACTGTGTGTGGATGAGGACTGGAGATTACATTTGCTGCCTTATTATCATTTAATAAATATCTATAGCGCATGTGTCAAAAAAAAACAGTGCTTCGGAAGCTTGATTGGTTCCTGATTCAAAGGTTCAAATAGACCTGACTCACTGGCTGAATCTATGGTGTGGTTTGGAGGTGAAGCAACAACAACCCTGGAATGCGCCAGCTGAAGACTAGAGGATGTTCTGCTATGTAAACGGTTTTACAGCCTTCTTTTTGTCAACCAAACTGACATCAAACAAAGATCCTTTTGGGTCACTCAAGAGTTAAAACTTTAGAAGTTAAAACTCATCAAAACGAAAAGGTTGAAAACAAGATGAGGCCTGGAGGACAGCAGAACCCCTGCACTGCTGTCTCCCAGACTGCTGAAGGCACAGCCTTTTTATCCCAGGTGTGGGTCGTCAGAGGGATTCAGCTCAGCTGTGCTACCCAGCAGTCTGGAGGAGAGGAGGAGAAGGGGCAGTGTCTGGCTGATCACTGGGGCTGGGAGATCCTGGCTCCTTCACGTGAAGAGGCCAGGCTGGTGGCCATAACAATCCTCCCCCACCATTGGAGCCAACTCACCGCCAGGTAGCGGTCAGTTGACAGTTCCACCCCTCTCTTCACTCGAGTGTCCAAGACATGCAGACTTCAAAAAGGGCAGGTAGTCTTGCTAATATTCCGGAACATTCCGGTTCCGGTCGAGTGAACGCTGGCGCGTCTCGCTGCCGCTGCTCGCTGGCAAACAAACTTTTTGTATTTTTTTTCTTCTTTTTCACCCTAGTCACATCCCTGTGTCGGTGAAAACTCATTTTCACCTACCTGCTCAGCTTGCGTTCTGGTTGCACATCACCACCTCCCTGCTCCACTCCATAATGTGGTCCAGCAGGATTTCTCTGTGCCTCTCACTGGCCTGGATCATCCTGTCGCTCATTCTTCTCTCCGTGGATGGCCTTCTCCAGTACTCGGCGGCGGAGCTCTTCAACCTCCGCTTTCACTACTGCGGATCTCCACCACCAGCTCTGTGCCTCTTCCCCGACATCACCTTCCAGCCTCGCCGTCGGTATATCCATC